ATTATGGACTGACAATAGAACAAATGCATCTGTCTTGGAGGAAGAACAACCGGTGTTCTTCTTAGAGGCAGAGATGTTGAAACTTGGTCTCACATACTTTGGACATCTTGTCCAGAGGGGACATTCCTTGGAAAGGAATATCAGATTGGGAAAAGTGAAGGGGCAGAGAAAGAGCTGAAGACCTGACCCCCAAACAGATAGACAGTCATTGTAACAATTTTGTAAGATTTCTGAAAGATATAACTATTAAAACTGTCATCTTCATCTCATGAGAACTTATTGCCTTTTCAAGAGTATTTGTCCTCAAAAAAGTTGGAAATAGAAATACCATTTGACCCAGCAATTCCATTCCTGGGAATATACCCTAAAGAAACTAGAGCTGCTATCCAAACAGATATATGCACACCCATGTTTATTACTGCATTATTTACAATAGCAAAGAGATGGAAGCAACACAAGTGCCCATCAACAAATGAATGGATAGAGAAACTATGGTATATTCACACAATAGAATACTACGCAGCACTGAGAAACAAGGAACACATAAGATATAACACAACATGGGTGACCCTGGAGAACATTATGCTGAGTGAATTCCTCAGTCACAAGAAGACAAATACTGCATAACACCACTGTTGAAACAGGACTGACATGGAGGTTGTGGGAAAACTTAGAAAAGAGGGGATAATTAATGAACACTGCTTTGAAACAGATGAAGGAAAGAACTATTTCAAAGGAATATATTATTAGGCGTTATTTGGATGACAACAGTCCAGAATAAGAGGTACATTGCAAAGTGGTCTGAGGGGGAGGGAGGAAATTATGCAACAATGAATAAATATTTTTCTAAAAAAAGTGCACTAAAGAGGGAATAGGGGAGAAAATGTGTACCAATGAGTGAATGAAAATCCAACTTTTTGGTAAACTTTCAGTAAAATCCAATTAAAAAAAGATTATTTGTCAAGGAAATGGAAGAAAAAAATCTACGTACCGATTTTCAACAATTTTTGTAAATTTAAACAATTTTATTGACAAAATTGACATGTAATAAATGAGACGTATTTAGAGTTTATAATTTGGTAAAATTTGACGTGTTTGAACACCATTATCACAAGCAATATAACGACCATGTCCACTTTTCCAGGTTTTTTTCATACACACTTGTAAATCTCTGTATGTTGTTATACTTGCTAGGCCACCATCCCCTCCTGCCAAAGATAATATCTTTCTGTCACTTTACTTTTAATTTTCCAATATTTTACATGGCTTAATTATGGTGAGAAACTTTAATTTTTTTAAAGTGGTTATCAATAGTTATTTCTTTTTATTGCTGAATAGTGTTCCATTATATGAATACACTACAATTTGTCCATTCATTAATTGATGAATATTTGGATTTCTGGCTTTTTACTATTATAAATAAAGGTGATGTAAACATTTATGTGCTTGTCTTTCCTCTTGAGTGAATATGTAGTAGTGGAACAGTTGGATAATATTCTGGGTGTATTGAGCTGAATTTGTGAGGTGATATGTACCATTTTATATTCCCATCAGTAGTAATGGAGAGTTCTAGTTGCTGTATGTCCTTACAAGATAAAAAATGGCCAATCCTTTAAAACTGTTGAAATTCTAATAGGTGTCTAGTGGTATCTCATTTTAATTTTAATTTAGACTTTCTTTTTATATTTTGTATTTAATATTAATGTTAAATGCTGTTGTGCATAGACCGATGGTATGATGATTTAATCAGTTAATTGTATTTTTATTTTATCTTTTATCTTATGTTCTTAATAAGTCTGCTGATCATAGCTATACATGTAGTTTTTTCCCCCTTCCAATTCTCAACAGGTAATGGACTGATGAATTTTTCAAGTTTCCTTATGGCTATAAATGATGTTTCTTATTTAATTTCTCAAGATCCAGGTAAAAATGATTATTCTTTAAAATTATAGAGGAAAATGATTGTGATAGCAGATGATTTTTTAAATGGTATTGACATATGAATTTGTGTATCTCTTAATTTCTTCTCCCCCAATATACTAGGTTGAAAAAAATTAGATATTAGTTGTTTCATAAAAAGTGTTAAAAAATCTGGATTACTGCCATATCACCTTCATTTTCTAACTCCAATCCCTACTTTTCCCTGCGTACTACTATGAGACTAATTCTCTTAAAACACTAAACTTGTACTGTGACTCCCCAGCTCAAGAATTTATATATTCTTTTATTAACAAATAAATCTAATATGAACTCTTATGCCTGATCCTCTCATCTTGCCATACTTTTGTTAACTGCTCCTCTCCTCTCGAGGATCTTTGCCAGGCAAGGACCCTTGATCTGGTTAATCATAAATCATAACATGTCAGCTTCCTTCTTGTTTGCATGATTTTGTTCACGTGTGTGCCCTTTTCTGTTAATATCTCACATCTCTTTTATTATCTGCCCTTAACAGTAGTTTCTTGCCTGGCCTATACCTGAGATCTAAATTTATCTCTAAACATTGTAGATACTTATGGGTCTCTGAATGACTTTGAATTAATTTTATATATAAGTTGTAAGAAGTGTACTTGGAAGGACTATTCATGTTAATGATAGCATGTTTTTAAAACGTTTGGCCAGACTTGAGTTTAGCATTCCATCTGTTTCTGCATGTCGCAAGATAAAATATCAATGATCAATCCTTGACATTCAATACTTTTAGACTATTCTTTTTTAGAATTAAGAATATATAAATGTGGTAGTCTTCCTAACACTGGATAGCCAACTTAAGAGATAAGAAAAACTCTTAAATCTTTCTTTATTCCTTTTTGTAGTAAGTACTATTATGTATTCATCACATGCAGCAATGAACAATATAGATATGATGCTTGATTTGCTTTTTCCCTTTGGATTCCTTATTGTCTACTTGCTAATTCTTTTAAAATGGAAATTTTTTATTGCTCATATTTTTACCATAATAAAATTTTAGTCGTATATCACATAATAAACTTTGAGGCAATGTCCAACTACATATACATCCATGGTTCCAACCCACTTAACCCTATTACATTTATTTAAATTTCTAGTTACCTACATTATTGTAACAAACGTGTCCTTATTCTCTACTTGCTGTTTTGATTAACTCCTATGATATCTTATTTTTCCATTTTTCTTTACCTATTTGGTTTTCCTGACTAAGATTTCCATGATGATTGAATGTGATCAGGCATACTATGTGTCTGGCATGTGGCCAACGCTCAATTTACATCACTATTTTTTTATTGGTAGAATAATAGTAATAGTAATAATAGTAAAAATCAGCTTTTTTGCTAAACATTTGGCCAGTATTGGTCAAATGCCTACTTGCAAGTAAATTTTTTTAGACAACTCTATGCCTATGGATCAAAAAGTCACTGTACCAAAAAGAAGTGGCTGACACAGAAGAATTTTATGAATCAATATATGATCAAGAGGTATGTGATGAAGGAGGAAGTTCAAGCTGTTCTGAGGGAATTGGCATAAAAGAAGGCCCCAGAAATTAATGGAATACCAATTGACGTGGCATGCTCATCAGGTTGTGCCAAGAAATCGACTACCTGGCCAACTAACTGGAGGAGATCCATATTTAATCCTATTCCAAAAAAAGGTGACCCTACAAAATGTGGAACTTATTGAACAATATGACTACTATCACACACAAGCAAAATCCTGCTGAAGATTATCCAAAACCCACTGGAACAGTACATAAATAGGGAACTACTAGAAATACAAGATGGTTTTAGAAGAGGCCATGGACTAGAGATATTATCGCCAATGTCAGATGAATCTTGGCTGAAAGCAAAGAGTACCGGAGTAGTGTATATCTGTGTTTCATTGACTGTGCAAAGGTGTTTGACTGTGTAGGTCACAACAAATTGTGGCTAACCGTGAGAAGAATGGAAATTCCAGAACACTTGATGAGCCCATGTGAAACCTATATTTGGACCAGGAAGCAGCTGTCAGAACAGAGGGTGGAAACACACGTGGTAAAAAATCTGGAAAGCAGTGTGTCAGGGATGTGTCCTGTCTCCTTACCTTTTCAATCTGTAGATGGAACAGATCATTTGGACTTTATGAGGAGGAATGTGACATCAGAATTAGAGGAAGACTCATCAACAACCTGCATTATGTAGATAACACAATCTTGCTTGCTGAAACTGAGGACCTAAAGTGTTTGCTGCAGAAGGTCAGTGACAGCCATCTTCAATATGGATTGAAGCTCAACATCAAGAAGACAAAGATTCTCACCACTGGGCCAATTTGCAGCACCATGATCGATGGAGTAAAGACTGATATTGTTAACAGTTTCAGCTTATTCGGCTTCACAATCAACACTTTTGACACCAGCAGTCAGGAAATCAAAAGGCAAATTGCATTAGGGAAATTTGCTGTCAGAGACCTCTCCAAAGTGCTAAAGAGCAATGATGTCATTATAGAGACTAAGGTACACCATCCAGGCCATGGTCTTCATGGTCTGATGCTTTGCATCTGAGAGCTGGACAATGATTAAGGAGGACAGAGAATTGGTGTCTGAGTAGTGGTGCTGGAGAAGATTGTTGAACAAACCATGGACTGCCAAGAGAACAAACAGGTCTGTCTTGGAGAGAGTGAAATCAAGTTTCTCCTTGGGGGCAAAGATTTTGAAGTTCTGTCTCACATACTTTGGACACGTGGCCAGGAAGGGACCAGTCCTTGGAGAAGGATATCATGCTTAGAAGGGTAGAGAGAGAGAGTAGGAGAGGAAGACCCCAGATGAGATGGATTGGCATAGGAACTTGGGTAATGGAGATAGATGTTTCAGAGTTTAGAGCTGTTGTACATACAGTTGCTTTGAGCCACAGGTTACTTGCTAGCACACAACACCACCAACAACATGCGTAAGTAATTTTTCCCTATAGGTATTGACCCCAAATCTGCTCTTTCTCCAAGAGAAGCTGTTGAATCTCCTATTAGAACTATTTCTCTCTTAACTGATTTTACAGCATTCCAGGATGCTTGGAAGACATTCTCTAAGATAAAAGATGGCCGAGTTTCAATTGATGACCTAGGTCCTGTCTTGAATAGTATGGGTATTGTCGTAGCCCATGAGACTATTCAGAAATTGATAAACCATACCTACATTGACAGTGAGTAATTGATATATGTGTATATATCTTTTTATATGTATTTAAAAAAATTGATTTAATGATTCATTGTTTGCTTTCCCCGTCTCTAGGTTCTCACCTTTTGTTATCAATACTGCTTCCTTGTATTTATAGTAAGAGATAATATAGAAAAGTAAAATAAGATATTTCTAAGTTTATTATTTTTGGTTTAAAAATGACTATTTTTCTTTTCTGCCTTATATTTCTTTCCCAAAAGCTATTGCTAGTCTTTGTAATGATAAAGTTTTTGATAGTGTCAGAAATGCCACAAGCAAGTTAGAAAATTTAAATTTCTTGAATTCTCAATTTTATTATTACACCCTGCTTATAAAATTTCCCTATCCTATTGAGTTACTTTCTGCAGATTGACGGCTTTACACATTGTGAATATTTTTAGTATTGTGTGAGTAATAAATACTCAAATTTAAGTAAGAGGTATCCTACCATAATGGATGGATAATTGATTAGCTGAATCATTTCTTTTTAATTAATCAGATAGTCAATCATTCAATATCTACTCCTTCCTAGAACAAGATAATACAATAATGAGTAAGACACACTCCCTGTTCCGAGTCTTTATGGATAAATCCTAGTGCAGCCAATGTGAAGTCCTATTATTTTAAATTCTTTGCTTTTTTTTTTTTAAATTTAGGTTGTTTATTTT